CAAGTGATTTTTTCTCGAATGCCTATGGATTCGACTGGAGACATTGTTTGTTTTATATTCTGGTTCCCACGAAAAGTGATATCCTGTATGTTCAGAGAACATCGTGAGAACCAAGGGAAATAAGGTAGGAATTGGTGTTCTTGAATTTCTGGAGGTTATATGCCTCGGGGAACACCTCTCCTGGCAATGTGTTCCAGAGCCTCTCTGTTCGTTGGATGAACGAGTCTTTGGAAAGAGTTGTTCTGCAAGTCTCCAAAGTGACCACGAAGGGGTGCGGAGCCTCTACTCGACGGGTTAATCTCGCGGGGACTGCCAAAGGAGGAACAATTGTTGATATTGCAGAAGAGCATCGTCCATGAAAATATATATAAAATAGAGCCAGATCACCAACTTTTCCATGGTGTCCCAGAGAAGTGACTGAGTTTGTGAGCGAGCATCACCCACGAGAGGAATTGCCATTTTTTTGGACAGAATCCAACAGTTTCAGGGTATGTTTGGGTGCTGCACTACAAATATGGGAACAGTATTCCAGGTCGGATCTGTGCCTCATAGATCATAAGCAGCTGACTGGAAGTGAGATAGCTCCTGGCCCGAAACAGAAAACAAAGTTTTTGGGATGCTCTTTCAGCAATTGATCTCACGTGATGAAAGGTTATTGCTGATGGTAATCCGAAGCATCGAAATGGATGTCTTCAAAGGTATGGTTACTCCTGACAAGCTTATGTTGGGCACAGTAAGATCGGCTTTTCTAGAGAAAAGGCATGCTTGAGTTTTGTTTGCATTGAAATCTACCAATTCATTGGATCCCCATTCGAGAATTGTTGCCAAGTCCGTATTTATGTTGTCAACATTTCTCTCTCGTTCGTTTCTGAGTATATCAACTTTGGCGTTCGTAATGCCTCTCTACAAAGGAGGGTGTCGCCTCTAAGAGTTAGGTATAAACAGTGGTTCCATACCAGTTTTTTCCAAATTATTTGTTCACTTCAGGGGAGCAACAGTCGTTATTTCAATGAAGTTGTGATCTATGAAGTAGACCTCTGTCTTCTGAATTATATATGGCGCACTTAGAGAAGCATAATACTAATCTGAGGTTTTTTCATGGTATTCCAGATACAATGTTAACTATGGCAGATATCCCAGCATTTCAGAACCAGTACTCCCAAGAACCCTATATGCGTTCAAGACACATCACTTAGGAGCTCAACATCTGTCAGGCAGATTAACGGGATATGGAGATTTCCCAGATAAGTTTTCATGAACATTAAATTCGAATAGAGATGATATTTTTCATCTTCTACAAACATTTCTCCATAAAAAACGACTCATCAATCATTTAATCAAACCGTCGAAAAATTAGCCGACATTGTGAGTGTATGGAATCACGTCCGGTACCCTTACGAGGGGAGTGTATCAACTTTGGCGTTCGTAATGCCTCCCTACAAAGGAGGGTGTCGCCTTCAAGAGTTAGGTATAAACAGTGGTTCCATACCACTTTTTTCCAAATTATTCGTGCACTTTAGGGAAGCAACAGTCGTTATTTCAATGAAGCTGTGATCTATGAAGTAGACCCATGTTTTCCTTGAGGAATATAAATCATAATGAATAATATATGGCGCACTCAGAAAAGCATAATACTAATCTGAGGTTTTTCCAGGATATTCCAGAAACAATGTTAACTATGGCAGATATTCCAGCATTTCAGAACCAGCACTCACAAGAACCCTATTTTCGTTTGTGACACATCACTCAGGAGCTCAACATTTGTCAGACAGATTAACGGAATATGGAAATTTCCAAGATAAGTTTTCATGAACTATTCTCCCCCGAATATTTCTTCATGAAAAACGACTTATCGATCATTCAATCAAACAATTCTTCATATTATCAACTGGAAGGAAGATATGGAGGGTACGGAGTTCTCAAAATGACTCCCTGTATGTATATCCTTCAGGTATAGAGGTCGTCATGATGCTACAGGGTGATAATTCACGATATCTTGGACGATATAAGTCAACAATCTTCCAAAAATTGACATCTCTCTTGTTTGACTATCAAGGAATTGCGATAATCATAATTGACAAAACTTCTCTGAAAGATGTCTTGCTAGAAACATACAGGAGGATGATTGAAAAAATCCTTACAATCCTGAATTCAAGATCGTGTATCTCAAGAACCAAGCAAGTTAAATGATGAAAATATGACAAAGAATCACAATATCTGAATTCATCAGTATACTGTTTCATCAAGAACCTGTATAGTAAATTCCAGATATAACATATTTCTATGTAATAGAAGGATTGATCAGAAAGTTGAAAATAATATGTCTGATATTGAAAACTAGTATTAACGCCTAGGAAGATGATATCTGGAAGATAATGACACATAAAACTCAGTGTCATCAAATAGGCACCTAATGAGATTATTTCTTGGAAAACACTGATGGAAATGTTTTTCATCATACTCGCCACATAAGGCTTTGAGAAAGTTTTAAAATGGTCATTAAAAGTTTTTCAGCTTTCCAACGATTGGGGATAGCTGAATAGAGTAGGAGTAGATGAAAGGAGTTCAATTTACTGTTTGGTGTATCAATGCGCTTTCGACTCAGTTTATCTTCAATGCTTCCTGCAAGTGAGTATCAGATGTCCAGTTGGAATTGAGATATCGTAGAATATGAAGCTGACAATTCTGAGTGAAAAGATGACATCAAATTACAGAAATATGAGTACGTTAGACAGCGGAATAGCGCAGTGGTTGAGGTGAACATCGAAATACTGCTAGGTTCGAACCGCCGACAGAGCAGAGAATTTTTATTCATAAAACGGCCTATAAATTCTAATTTTCGTAACCACGGCCGGAGCTGATTCCGCACAATTCGCTGTTGCGTTTCAATTAAAGTGGCCTATGAAGTTAGTAACAAAGCCTACACAGAACCCACCTGACCTGAAGGACCTCTCGTAAGGTCGAAGGCTGGTTGTTATGTACAGTGCATGCCACATAACATGAACATAAACTAGTATAGATACAAAAACCATTGAATTTTAGTGCGCTCTCTCAAGGGTAGGGGACCCTGTGGTTTTTCCTGTCTTACAACCCGATATGGTATTCACAGTATACCTTGTGTTTGTGGAAAGTTTTATACAGGTGAAACCAAGAGACCTCTTTTAGTGAGGACGAAGGAACATAAATACAATATAAATAAGAAATGACACATCGACAAATCGAAACTAGCTGAACATATCCTCACTTAAGATGGACCACATATGGCGGAGTGGAATAAAATTAAAATCAATGGAAAACAACCATAAGAGAAACATCAAGGAATCTGCTTGCATTCTTCTGAACGGAGACAATAGAATCGCTCTTCCTATTCAGTTGATATAGATAGAACATGGTATTTACTATTTTGATCTGAAAATAAAAATGGTAAATCCAAGAATAATCAATGAAAACATCCAGTAACTCATTTGATTGCCAACGTCACCAATTGTCACTGAGAACTGAAAAGTGTCGAGACAAATACGAATTCGAGATAAAAAACATCCATTTTTTATGTTGAAAACAGGAGCAGATTCGTTCCCGATACGTCCAATGCTAAGTAAAATTTGATATTTCTTCTATATACTTTTATGTCTCTTCTCCAGACTTTTTTCAATACAAATTGTCCCTGACAAGCTAGTGACTTTTTCTTTTGGGCTCTCTGATAGGAAAATTCTTTAAACGCAGTGACATTTGGGGGCACACGATCTGATTTGTCCCTACTACACGTACATTGAAATAATATTCATATAAGAAACAACATTATATGTACTATGTATATGATTTAAAAATGATTATCTGATTATCTAATTTTTTTTCTTTTAGTTGCTCTTTCATAATTTTCCCTGCTATGAACATATATATTTTTTGGGAATAATAAAGATTATTATTATTATTATTATTATTATTATTATTATTATTATTATTATTATTATTATTATTATTATTATTATTATTATTATTATTATTATTATTATTTTCATTTCATAGAAACGAGGAGAGAAAATCCCATAAAATCTGGAATTATGAATATGAAAAAGGTTTGTACTCCAGGGCCGGATTAACCACAGGATACGAGGGGCAACTGCCCAGGGACGAATTTTGTCAATGAGTATCATAAGGATATAACAAGGAAATTTTTCAGTGATCAAGAATATTATTCATTTCACTTGATTCTTTGGGATTTTCTCTCCTCGTTTTTATAAAATAAAAATATTCGTATTATTTCAATATATTTGTAATGGGACAAATCAGATGATTTGCCCCAAAATGTCACTACGTTTGACAAATGTTTCTATCAGTGAGCCTGAAAGAAAAATCCAGTAGCTTGTCAGTGACAATTTGTTTGAAAAAATGCTTGAAGGAAAGAAATATAGATATATTGAAAAAATATTGAATTTTTACTTATCTTTGGACCTTACGGGGCCAAATCTGCTCCCGTTCTCAACATTTAAATGCAAAATATCCTTGTTCGAAAGTTTTGCTGCTTATAGTTTGACACTTTTCAGTGTCATACTGATGTTGGCATATGAATGAGTGATTTCAGAGTCTACAAATGAGCTACAGGATGTTTTCATTTATTGATCTTGAATCCACCATTTCCATATTCAGTTTTCAGTAGTGAATACCATGTTTTATCTATATCAACTGAACAGGAAGCATTGCTTCTTGCCCTTAAAAATTCTAGTTTTATATTTATCCTTACAAAAGCGCTCTGGGCTCGGTACTCGTGCAGTCGTACATCGTACATCGTACATGCTACGTATATTCTATATTCCGACTTTTCAGACTCGCGGAGATATTTTTTTAAACGCTACCATTTTCGAGATGTTTACTATTTCATAAACTATGATTTTGCGCCCCTCAAATCTTGGCGCCCGAAGCGCTCGCTTCTTTTGCTTCCTGGTTAATTCGTCTCTGATCGTCCTCAATCGAATCCATGACAATTTTTGCTGGAAACATACCTGTTATCATCCATAGCTCTTTCAAGCAATCCTCTCTGCTTTTCTTGAAATCAACAGGTACATCGTGAGGCTCCCCTCCTTCTATCGCCTTGAAAATGATGGCTCCCAGGAGAGTGTATCCAGTAACGAGAAGAAACAAACTGGTCCTTTCACATAAGACGGCTATCACACATCGCCTCGTTATAGACATCGTAGCATTGTTCTCTTCCATCTGTAATAGTTATAATACAGGTTGATTCATGATTGAACATGATTGACGTTTTGATTATGTAATGAACGGGTATATCTTAGACAAAATTAAGTATGTAAATTTCTGAATTCTTTTGAACTAAGTACAGTGAACAATAATTGTCTTAAATAAAAATAACTTTTATCATGCGTCTACTAGGCAATATTATTACGTGAACGGACGAATGTTTATTTTGAATTGAGTGCAGCATCATTAGCATAAACAAATGTATAGAATAAGTAGGTACGTTACCTTTGTAAAACGAATTCACTGGTCACTTGAGAACGAAGCAGGTTGATATCTAAGGACCGAATTGAGAGACAAAAATGACGTTGATGAGAATTTGCAGAGAATTTATAAGTTCAGTAAAGAGGGAGTGACTTTAATCTGATTGGCTCGAAAGATCAATAAATTATTATTTAGCCGAAATACGTAAAGGAAAGAGCATATGTAATTGTCAATTTTGTTAATATTCCAGAAGTGAATTATTATCATAACATTGGAGAGTTACATCGAAATCATCTCACTTGTGCAAATTAAAGCCGAGAAAAATTAATGAGAATCATAAACCACATTGAATTATTACTTGAAAAAGGGTTAATGGAAAACTATAGTAAATGACAGTTTTGTTCACATTAAGAGTATGAGTTATAGCTTAAAATTATCTATCATCATAACAATTCAGAACTACAGCAAAATCTTTTCAGTTTCGCATATTAATCCTAATATCCGTAATTTATTGCTCGAAAATTTACTAGAAATCTTGCTCAATATAAACACAACATGAAACTCACCTCATATTTAATTGATTCTCTCGAAATTTATTGCCAAAATAGCAAGCAGGAAAATTCGACTTCAACTTCAGTCTTAAACGTGACTCAATACAAAACGTATCCAGCCGACTTTGTATCTGTCTATCAAACATGCTACGTTCGAACAGTACCAGTGAACTTCGTTAATAATACCTGTGTAAGTGACCACTCAGGTAGATTTATTGTAATCTGCAACTTTGGTGACTAAGACGGAAAAGTGAAGTGATTCTCTCGCCAATTGAAAAAACAAGTGAACAGTGTAACAATAATGTGCAATCTAAAATGTAAGCAAACTTTGATTTTGTTGCCTGTAACCTCTGCCTGACCATTCTGCCTGAATATATGTCTCAGTAACTATCTATATGTTGTCTTATTGTCTACAATCTCAGTCTGCCTCCTGCCTCAATAATCAACGTACCCAATGATCGAGGAAAACTTACTTTGTAACGACCCCCTGTAGTAGGCCAACTAACGAAGAAAGTTGGGGGCATTACAATTATCATCAATTTTATTGCTGAAAAACTAGTCTGGTTGGTCCCGTGTGGGTCAATTTGGTTTCTGTATTTGTAGAGCCAATCCGATAAAATTTAGTAAACCGAAAATATCGCTGAATTACAGAAGAAACCAGGGGCGGATCCAGACGATGTTTGAGGGGGGGGCCATAGAAAGTCACAGCTCAATAAGGTTAGCGCGGAAGAGAAATTATATGAGACAAATGCTTTTTCATTAGAAAAACTGATCATAGTAAACATCAAAATTATTGGTGTAAAAAATTTTCCATCAATGTATGTAGAATTCTGTAATAAATCATATTGGATAAAAGAAGTGAATGAAAAAATATTTCTGTTGAAAAACTTGGGTACAAAAGTGAATGAAAATATTTCTCTTCAAAAATAAAACAAATGAAACAGACAAAAATAAAAATATATAAAATAAAGAAAACAAATTCCAGTCTTCTATTCTTCTGCCTAGCTTATCTTTGGATGATATCATCAACATTCAGACTGCAGATGCCCCTGTGAATATGCATTAATGCCAATCCATTTATCCAGTCTTGGACCATTCTGGATCTTATCCAATTTTTCAGCCTTCTGAGTGTTGAAAAACTTCTTTCAGAAGATGCAACACTTACAGGTAGGCAACAAAATAGTTCCAGAAGGATGTTTATGTTAGGAAACAAATGTTTGTTACATTCCTTCAGGCCAGTTATACCATTGTTTGGTATATTTTGCTTAGTATCCCTCATTTTCTGCCATATATACATTTCAGAAACGATCTCCTGGAAGGACATTTCATCATTCTCCCCAAAACTGTTCAAGTATATTTCCCATAACTCATAAATTTCCTCATCTGTTTTGTTTTTAGTTATTGAGATGGCACACAAAGGTGAAGGTTGTGTAGATTCAATTCATTTTCTGATATTCAACAACAACTACAAAAACAATAAGAATACTGGAATGAAAACAGTTATTCTCTAATCTTCATCCACTGAGGAAACCGTATTTGGTCTATGAACCATTCTCCTTGTTATTCTCCACATCTAAAATTCAACATTCAGTTCTTTCAATTTCTGTTTGGCTGCATTCGAAATACTCAGATAGTAGGTATTTAGAATATCATCCCTTTTATCTGGAAGCGTCTGAAGAGTGATACTAACAACATCGTTAGCTTGTTTTTTGTTTGGAGCAAATTACTAAGTGGCAGTGTTATCGAAAATATATTTGCCAAACAGTAGAGTGTAATTACAAATTCGCAATTCCGTAAAGCTGTTGGGAAGTTCCTAACTATGAAGACATGCACTAATTTTTTCATTTATTCAAAATACCTACATTTTTACATGTCCATGAGGTGCTCGAGGGGGGGGGGGGGCCATGGCCCCATGGCCCCCCCCCTGGATCCGCCCCTGGAAGAAACCGTGAAAGTGGTCGATTCTGATCGGTTCTCGATAACAAGAGTGGAATTAGTCAGAGACAAATTCATCCTATTAATATTTTGGTGAATGCGCTTGTTGAAATTGGTGGGAAGAAGGGTTTGACCGCCAGATTATAGTATTTATCGTGTGCAATAACTCAATTTCGTGCTACGTGCTATATCAGGTTGGATAATGGTAAACATGTAAGGGTGTGTCTGATATCGAGTAAATTTATTAGTTAGCAGAATATACTCGAATTTTCACATATTCACAAAATAGTATATTACTTATCATACAAGTTTTATGAGACACTATTTCGAGGAGTACTCCAAAAAAAACCAGTGCGACAATATATCTTATAAAACATGTGTTATATACTATTTTTTCTATTTTGCATTCATTAGTACTCTTTTATTCAGGAGAATATCATCGAATTGAGAACATCGAATATTAGAAATAGGTAGGTGTATAATATGAAGTACCTAGTTGGTGACAATGAGAAGGACATTTTAACTAACAACACGGAGAAATTTTTCGATACATATTTATTTTGGGTATCATAATGAATTCATCAGAGTGTCAGAATAGAAAGAGTTATTCATTATACAAGGGAAGACGTAGTAGATTTCAGCTTCAGGTCGTGTTGTCCATGAGCTGAAATCTAATATTTTTCCCGTGTATCCACTATTTTTTTGTGGCAGGATGAAGGACGAATCAATATTGAAAAGATATTACATTATACTGAACATTGTCGTTCTGGATGACAACCTAGTTAGGTAGTTAGTAGGCAGGAGCTATAATATTGTCTGTTCATTGAAAAGACAAATGAAGAAAATATGTAGTTCAGAGACATCTACGTGAATTAAGTAAACTAAGTTATTCATTTTTTATTCCTAACCGTAACATTTTTCATGGTCCTGTCAAGTTTGTAAATAAAAATCTGTCATGTTGAAACCCGAAAATGAAACATTATCACGAAAGATATTATCAAGTATGAAAATCATCTACCTATACTTGAATGGAAGCAGGAAGATGTTTAGGAAATGCTGTATTAGTATGATTTATGATGCAACTTGAATTTAAGTTGGAACTGTGGAAACTTCGGAAACTCAATAGTGCTATTACACTTTTTTGACATGCAAGCCAAGCAGAAAGGTAGGGGCTGCTTATTTCCTTCTATATTTTTGATAAGTTACTATATAATTCATGAAATTCTATTATTTGCAGTGAAAATATGTCTTTAGTGATGTAAAATTTCAGGTACCTACCTACAGGGAAGAGTAGTTACATTAATAGCTTTTCAGTTGAAAAACGAAAAACTATGATTGATGTGGAAGTATCACATTAGAAATCATTATGTGAGAGATGTTCAGAAGGAATGTACCAGAAGGATGATGATGTTCGAGAACAGAATGGAAAATTTACCATCTGAAATAAATATATAGAAGCACTAAGGTTAGACTCAATCTGGTTATTTCATCAATGTCTTATGGATATTCTGCTCCAAACACAAAATATCATTATATTTTTTATAGATAGGTCCTCGAAAGTCGAGCTGCAAAAATATCCAGTTCACAAGATTTTATGAAAAAACACACAAGAAAATGGGGCAGTGAATAAAATCAGAAACTTTTCATCCTGTAGTTCGATGAGCTGAATCCAGATAGTAAGAACAACGATTTGTTTGCTGGAAATAGCCGGTCCCCAGCATTTCATTCTAGGCTGCAAATTATACACACCACAATGTATATTCAATTTATCTATTTTTCAAACAATCAATTAGATGATGAGGAACATGTGATATTCCACTCCAGCACACTCAGGACCATTTTCGTAGTGAGCCACTCAGAATTTCACTAGAGTAAAATGATTTCAAGATTGTATAGGAATCATCCTCAGATTCAGATATATGGTATTCTATTGTTCAGGGTTATTTGTCAAGTTGCTGGGATATTTAGAATTTTTTATTGGAATATAACTTGTATGTATGAATGGCAATACAATTTTTTTATTAAATTGTACATAATTATGAAGAATTATTTCAATTTTTATTCTACTATATAGTTTGTTCTCTTTTGATACCCTGTTTATTGTTGTACAGATGTATTAGCAGGTAAGTTTGAAAACACTATATATGTATATTGTACCAATATTGTATATAGGTAAAGTATTTTTGAAGTGAAACAATGATTATTTTTTATTAAATCATCTTATTGAAGCTACGAACTTCACTAAATATGAGAAGATGTGTCTATTATTGCCACAAATTAAACCACAGGAATATTCAATACCAATATTTATCTTTTTAATTTATATTCAAGTCAACATTCTGAATGAACTTTATTATTATTTATTATCATTCTATAATATCTGTTCAAATGCCCGCTTCCTCCTCAGATGCTTCTTCATCGTTAGGTCCTGATCCTTGATGCAGGAATTCCTCTTCAGCATCATATTCCAAACAACATTGATGAGTCTGAAAATATAAAAATATTGTCCCTAGTTTCAATGTCCTGTACCATTCTGAAATGAATTTAATGACTTTTGACTATGGAACAACTTTCAAAGGAACCAAGTCATACCGAAACTAATAATTAGTTAGTTAGTATAGGTACAAACTTGTTAAATACCATTTTATTTATATATTCGTACCTTGAACAAACTTGGAACCGTACTCTCTTTCCAAAACCGTTTTCT